GTCCAGCCTCTCATGTGAGGCTCAATATAACGACAGCAGTAAATACTTGCTGTAATAGTTTTTTTAAAAGGTGGTGCTACTGTTGGATATTATAATTTGAGTTTAAGGACGACGTTGTTTTAGACGGCAGTGTGTCTGTTGTTGCATTTAGGTTTATTTTTTCACCCCTCTCTCCACAGCTGTGCGGAAGTGACACAGCAGGCGCGCGCCCCGTCACGTCACGCGAGAAAGCACAGAAGCCGAGCGAGAGAAAAAAAAATTATCAACAACAAGAAGAACATTTACCAGCATATAAACCACCGTGACAGTCCGCAGACATGTTCAACACGTCGCTAACAGTCCGAAAGCATGGCATGGACTCGTAAAGGTGAGCTCAAACCTCCGATCACGCGCGTTTACCGTTAATTTAACAAGAGTCAGAGCAGGAGAGGGGGGGGGACTCGTCCACGCAAACATTGCCGCGTCATTAAAATTCACAAACAAAAATGTTTTACTAGTGAAGCAACGCCGTGCATTGCTATTCATAATGACGCGTGTCGTTGCTAAAATGACCCGCTCGTGGCGGGGCTTTGTAAAGAGTTACATTCGCACAGCTGGTTCGGCTTGTGTTTTGGTTCAAGGGCGGAAGAATGAGGAAGTAGCTGCTTAATAACTGGCTGGACGAGAGCTAGGAGGTGTACGGTGGCATGCACAGCCTACTTTTGTGTTTGTAACAGAAAATTGAGGTGGCATTGCAACAGATTTTTTATTGTCAGTTTAACTTGCTTGGCATTGGCAGCACGCGGGCTCAAGCTGCATACCAGTTCATGTGTGTGGCTGCAGCTGATCACATGCTGTTTGTCATAACGGTGGCGGACCAGCCACTACATGTTTATATGCTAATTAAAATAAATACTTTCAGGTTTATGCATGTTTTCACACACTATCATTTTGAAAGGAAAGTATTGTGTGTTTTTGTTTATCCAACAAGCATATTTTAATTAAACCATTATTGATCTATTCTAACAATTACAAGTTCACTCTTTCTTTTCTTGATAGAATTTAACCAGGTTCTGGGAACGTGTGTCACCTAGGGCTGCTCTAATGGTTATTTTCATCAACAGTTCATGTACCACCTCTTTAAATCAGTTAATCTACTATTGTTTCAGCTCCATACTGCCATATCATGCATGTTAACTTGTTAATTATGTATATTAGACAGTTTTTCAGTGCCTTCACAAGTTTGATTTATTTGCCTAGGCTATGAATTCCACTGAGCATGGAGAAGTTTCAGATGAAGCGATGCCTGAGAAAGGTAACTTCTGCACCCTGTATCTGTGCACCTGCAACACTTTTAATAAATGTAGCATAGCTATAGTTTCTTCCAATAAGGTATGGCATTTTTGGAGCCTAAAACAATATTTGGCGTCAAGCTTAAACCTAAACACAAATTTATATTCAAAACACCAGATTGTTTAAGGAGGTTTGTTGATTTTCCGATTGATCACAGAATATTTGCGGGTCAATTACATCTTTAAAAGAGCCATGTCAATACTGGGATGGAAAAGAAACATGACATCTGATTACATGAAGTCCTGCTAATTTATGGAAATATTATGCTTTCTATAAAAAATATCACTGTTAGCTTTCTCAATAATAATAAAATTATTATCGTTATTGGCAGAACACAAGCATGTCGAGGACGTTAAGGAGGAGACGGAGGAGTTTGCTATTTGCGAGCCACCTAAAGGACTCGGACGAGGATCTCCTGGTGCCGCTGAGGCTGGTAAACGGTCATCGGCAGAGATGGGCCCTGACACAAACCAGTCCACCAGCAGCAAGAGAGTCAGAGTCTCTGGAGAGGTAGTCTAACCCCAGACCATTTTATCTAACTAAAAACATTGGTATACAACATTGGCACTCAGCACATCCTATTGGTTGACGGTGGGTCTAACAGCATATCTCTGTTTTGAATGTTATTTACTCTATAGATGAGGAGACACTTGATAGATGACAGCAGCAGGTTTGAGCCTCTTTGCCTCACCACAACTGGAGAGAAGAGGGACTGTGTCCAGCAGAAGTCCAGAGTTTCCTACAGGAAGCCTCTATTCAGCATCTCCCATAGGATCTCGGAGAAGAGGACCACACCAAGTCTGGAGCAGCAGGCCAGTCATGGTGACGGGAATGAGGTCAACTACAGCAGCATCCTCTCCTCCAAGTTCCAAAGTTCAGAAGAAAACGGCCCGTTGGAGACCTTTCCCACCACCGACACTTCAGGTCAAGCTTCATCAACAGACTCTAGCCTTTATCCGCTGATTGAGAAAATGTTTCTCATTCTCAACACCCTCAATTCAAGCATGACACAACTGCATAGCAAAGTGGACTTGTTGACCCTTGAGGTCATGCGGATAAAGAAGCAGATCAAACCGGCTGAGATGGTGACCGAGTTCCAGCCTCCTCCTGAATATCTGCTAACAAGTGACGAATTGAATCAGCTGATGGAGCAGACATCCAGCGCTGGGGAGCTTGGGTGTCGGCTGCTGGTGCATCTCTTCCCAGAGCTGTTTAAAGCCAGGGATTGCTCTCATGAATGCATGGCAACCAAGAGAACACTGGAGTCTCTACACCTGCAGCTGATCCGTAACTATGTTGAGGTGTGCTACCCTTCGGTCAAGAACAACAGCGTCTGGCAGGAAGAATGCCTCCTTCAGGTTAATGACTTGTTTAATCGCTTCTGGGCACAGAGGGACATGGAGAGTGCCCGGCTGCTCAGGAAGCAGACAATCACAGGTGCTGGGATAAAGGCTGAGCATCCTCAAACCTATCGTTTCATTAATGAGCAGGGCCAGGAGGAGCATCTCTCACTAGATAACCAGCAGAGCAGCCTGACTGTGTCAGACCTTGCTTTCAATACACAAGCCACAGAGGAGCTGGATGAGTTCTCCTCCCCTGAGGACTTTGTTATTTTTCTTATGCACCGTCTTTTCCCTGAGGTTTTTGAAGAGGGGAAAATGCCAGAAGCCTCCAGCAGTTTCAGTAGTGTGGGGCAGCTAATTCTGGACTCTGACAAGATGGTAATAATAAGGAAGTATATGGAAGCAAATTTTCCTGATGTGCCTGAGGACAGTTGGCTTCAGGTGTGCATTCAACATATGGAGGATGCACTCGAGGGTCCTCACAGTAATGGCAATGGGAGTGAACATGACAATATCAATGATGAGGGCTATGACCTGGCCAGCATTCCTGAAGATGTTTCTATTATCAAGGTTCCAGAGGTGGGTGATTATGAAAGGCCCAGTCGCAAGTCCAAAAAGTCACTACTTACACCTGTGGATTTTGACAATCTGGAGATTCCTCTTCCTGACTTTACTGTTAGCCAAGAGTACCTCTTGTCCAGGGAGCAGCTGAAGAACAACTATGAATGTAGCTTGTCCATTGGGAACTTTGCTTCTCGGCTGCTGGTGCTTATGTTCCCTGAGCTCTTCACCCACGAGAACACACGGAAGCAGTACAACTGCAGTGGTTCCCTTGGTAAGAAACAGCTTGACCCTGTTCGTGTAAATCTGATCCGTCATTATGTGCAGTTAGTCTACCCTCGAGCCAAGAACGACAGAGTGTGGATGTTGGAATTTGTGGGAAAACTTGATGAGAGATGTAGGAGACGCGACACGGAGCAGAGAAGATCCTACCTGCAGCAACGCAAAGTGTACGGTCAGGAGTCAGAGCAGGACTTTATCTGCCAGCTGAACCAGCTCAATCAAGATAGCATGAGGGAGGATCCAGATATTCCCTCTTTGCCCCCCGAGAAAAGTAGCAAAGACTTTTGTAAAATTCCCCTGGACGAACTGACTGTATCCAAACCCGACTTCCCCGTACCTTCTGTCTACCTGCTCTCAGACATTGAGGTACGGGAAATCGTCCAGCAGAGTCTCTCTGTTGGGAACTTTGCTGCCCGCCTGTTGGTGCGCCTCTTCCCTGAGCTCTTCACCCAGGAGAACCTGCGGCTGCAGTATAACCATTCAGGGGCCTGCAACAAGAAGCAGCTTGACCCTGTCCGCCTCAGATTAATTCGTCACTACGTGGAAGCAGTGTATCCCGTGGATAAGATGGAGGAGGTGTGGCACTATGAATGTGTGCCAAGCATCGACGAACGCTGCCGGCGCCCCAATCGCAAGAAGTGTGACATTCTTAAAAAGGCCAAGCGGTCGAGCACTGTGTCGTAGTGACCATACTTTTCAGTTAGGCAACACTTTTTGTTATAAAAATAATTGCACAGAATATAAGCTGAAACCGCATTGTTGAACTTTTACAAACTGTCCTATGTAGGATGAAGCCAAGCTGTTTCTTCAGTACTATTCTTTGTCATATTTTACCTTTCGACTACAGCAGTAGATGTTGTAGTTCATGTAGTCTTTTTCTTGTTAGATAAAGAGTCAAAACTGCTTCTATTTATAAGCCAAAACTGTCATAGCTCACCTAACATACTTTGTTGATAAATGTTGTAGCCTTAAAAACAATAACAATAGCTTATAGCATAGGTCACACATTTGCTCTATGGATAAAAATGAATCACAATGATGTGATATGTTTCCATTGCAGTTACTGATGTAGCATTGTGCCACCACTGTTTTAATAACAATGTGCTTATGTTAAGCCTTCTTATAGAAGTTTATATTATAAAGACAATTTAACATGACAGTGGATCATGATAACACATTTCTAATAAAATCACAATTATAAATATGACATATGATTGGACTGTTTTGCATATCAGCACTAAACAGTTCCTGTTGAGGTATCTAACTTTACTGGATAGTGATGCACTTTACGCCCAAAGGAGTGAGAGGTGGCCCTTTCCTGAATACTTCCAAACAAGTTCTGTACTACACTAAATAAATAATTTGGTTCAACTAGTACTTACCATTATTTGAGAATTAATACAAAAGATATTATGAGTTGCCCAACATCAACAACATAAAGCTCACAAAGTTACGTACAAACTTGCTCTTCATCAGCCAAGATGATTTTCAAATCTCAAAACTTCAAAGTGCACGTTTATTGGGGGGGGGGGGGGGGTCTCACAGTATAGTGGGGAAAGATGAACATTCAAAATTGTTCTCCCAACCAACTGCTTAATGTCTAAAACCACTGATAACGGTTTACATTTGCATTCTACCTTTGCAATCCATTTTAGATCCAACTTCAAACCATTAAAATGCCACTCAGCCACACAGGTGCCGTTGCCTTCACTGATCAATGGTCTTATAATCACTACTGTCTGATTCAAGTTCATGGCTTAAAGACCTCATCCTTGGAAAGTTCTATACATTTCCAGCGCCTTATGGCAACCTTGTACTTTTCTGTGTTACTGGATTCACCAAAAACCCTCCGGAGGACGACTCTCATCACAGTAACAGTGTTTGTTTCTCGGTTCTCCGACAGTACCAGGTCCAAGGTGTCCCCAACTTTCACCTGAATAAACAACAAATAGTGAGAAATGAGGTAAAAGACGCATGTAGAAAGACTGAAAATTTTGGGGAAGGATATGTAACTTGTAATCAAACATCACTCACCGTTTTACTTTTCTTGATGAGTCTCTGTCCATTTACTCTAAGCTTGTTGTTATAGAAGGCGTCCTCAATTTTACTGTTTTAAAACAAAGGACAGTTAAGTCAGTACAAATGTTCAAAAAGGAAAGGGTTTTAAAGGCTCTGCTGTTCACAAGTTACATTTGAACATGCTCGTGCAACAAAAATCCCCCAAATCAGTATACCACGAATGCCAGTGATAGCATGGGACAGGAACACCATGGCAAACAAATGTGTTGTTCAAAAACTCTTTCCTATAATAGCTGATAGCCATTTTTCCTTGTTTAAAAAAAATTGTGATTGGAAATTTATCAGCATAGCCTTGGTTTCTATACATTTAACCCACTATTAAGAAAAGCAGCCAACAGACAATAACTCACTTGCGTGCCATGTCCAGGCCAGCTTTCATGATGACATCATACCGAAAGGACTGCACATATTTCTCCATGTCTTTATAATCCTTTGGTAGATTTGGGTTCTCTTCTTCATAATCACTGTCCTCAGGGTCTTTTTCATCCTCATCTTCCTCCTTTTCCTCCTGTACTGTCCTGGCAGCACCTTTCTTCTTGCTGCTTTTAAACCTCAGATGATGGACAGGCCAACCTCTGGCAGAGTCTCTGCCACGGAACGCAGGCCTGTGACAGCCAAGTGCGGGGAAAGCCGAGCAGCCCCATAGCTGGCGCGTGTGGATGGCCCTGGGACACCACTCGGTCTGCCTCAGTCCATATCCAGCAGCCAGCAGGTGGCGGGGGTTCAACCTTCCTAGCTGCCTCATGGCAAGTGCCTGCACCACCAAATTCTGCATGTTGGCGCTCCACCCAGTCACTAGAAAAACATGGGTGGTTATGAAGCATTATGCTAAATTTGAGTATAAAAGTCACTGTAGCATCAACCATATAAGTAATTAAAAAAACTTATGCATTCAGGGTCAACAGCTTCAAAATATCTGACCATGATGTAAATCACCCTTTAAAAAAGTTCAGTTGCTGTTTACAAGGTCAAGAATAATTTGTCAAGCTTTCTTTCCCTTGTCCTATTTTATCCTATAATTTCACTATTTATACTACTATTGTGTTATTAGATGTGATGTCTGTTTTTGTTGTTTAAATAGTAACTTAAGGTAAGTCTATTTGGATTATAAAATCTGCTAAAGTTACACTATCCAACAAAATCGAACTTGCTTTTGTTGGACAATGTAACTTTATAATAGTTTGTGTTTTACATCGAGGACTGTTGCACGAATCATTCTATAAAACAATGATAACACGAGAGGCTCAAACTGGGGTTTAACTAGTGATGTTTGTGTTTGTTGATTTTCTTAAAGTGATGTTTTCATGGCTTGATTACTTGACACCAGCAGACAAACAATTAACGTTGGAAGCTAACAGTTTGCGCTGTCCCAGTTGCATGTTGTATTTTGTCTGCTTTGTCTTTCTAATATTAGCTGCTGTTTGTGTACGTTTTCGTCATAAATTAATGCAATGGCTGCCTGTGCTTGACTGAACTTGACATTTTTCATGCTGGAGATGAAACCGAGCTGAAGCAGATCCAGCTAACAGTTAACTTAGCTAGCTTTATTTTTCTTTTAGCTCGTGGCCTCTTCAGTCCACGTGCAACCCACCACGAGCCTGCTCTTCGTCAAGAACAGTATTGCTAGTTTTACTTAGTTCCTAAATGCTAAATATAAAGTTACTAACATTCAATGAGCATTTGGCAGTGTACTCACCTATGGAACAACCTTTCATAGCTTGTTACTGTAACGTTGCTGACTGGGTTAACTTAGCAGCCGATGGAAAATGTGCTGCCACCTTCCGCTCTGGAGGAGAACGACATTACCTGGCCGAGCTGATGAGGGAACAACCGATAATTGGATTTGTTCTTGTTTTTATGCAAAATAGTCAAAATTCACCAGGATATCCTTTTAACTCCACTACTAATTATATGTGCATTACAAAGGACAGAGTAATCCCCAGTCTGTGTCTTCTTTGTCTACCTCTTTATATTACCAGCAACATAACATTATTGCTGTCATGACTCAGGGGCAGATCTGACACCGCTTCTGCTTTATCTACTATAATTATTGAGCCAGAAATAATTATTCAGGAAATTAAAGTCAATAAATGCAAAACCACACAATGTGGCTGCATCACTGTGAGCCTTTCACTTAATTAATTTTCCTACAGTCCAAAGGGTCATTTTTATACCATAGAAAGGCTAGATTTTATCTTAATATTTGCTATCTTCAAGGTAAATGGTTTGGAGGAGTAGCCTACATCAGTATATTACTGGTGTAAACATGTGTGCCACTGTGGGAAAAAAACAGCACAATAATCTCCATGTCAATCATTTTAATGTATAGAAAACAAAATTAAATACTTATAAAGTGTAATATATACAGTATATGTATGTATATAACAATACCAGATCCCTTAAACCAAAGCCGCTAAATGGAATTCATCATTCATGTTATTACTGAATCTGTGATGTTCTTACTCTGATATGTCAATATTGGTGTCTATGAAGCAGCTACTCCAGTTAACACTCTCCACTCCCAGATTTTCCCAGTAACATTTCTGAAATATTCATGGGCTTCCCCAGGCATTTATTGCAACTTCTATTGTTCCAGCATAAGATAAATTTGAATACATGATTTAAAACGTAATCAAGTTATTTATACAGCCCATTTGATTATAATGACAACAAGAGTATTTAAAACATTTTACAAGAAGCTTTAAGTGGTTGTATATTGGTTTATGTCTGAGCAGTTATGTATTTGTCAATATATCATCATGAATACTTTATTACTTTAAGGGAATTTACATCAACATTCAGCTTCACTACAATTCATAATGTCTAGTGTCACTTCAAGCGCATAATACTAGTGTCACTACATTATAGGAAACGATATAAAAACAAGATTTTATTTGTAGGACACGTACAATATTCTCTTGTTAGATGTTGTAAAAAAAGTCAGTATTATAAAGTTTGTATGATGTCCATGTGTAAACATGAGGACATTTACATCCTTGCATATACTGCCTGTAAACTCTGCTCAAAAGAGTCAGGGATCCCCCAGATAAATCCAACAACAAGACACAACAAAGTCTCTCTTGGAAACATGGTGACATGTTGGCGTGTGCTGTGCTCTCACTCTCTGAGCACATTCAGTACTGTACACTGGATAGTGAAATCACCATTTTACAAATGGAAAATGGAGCATTATATCTTTAACATAGACACATAATGGACATATCCTACAGTTTATCATATATGCTGGTGGTTTACATTCAGGTATGTTTTATAGGTTTTAACGCATCGTCTTAGTATAAGGAAATCATGCACATTAAGCACTGATTTAATGACCTTGTGGGTCTTTTTTGCAGCGAAATCCACACCATGGTTTGTTGTATGGCAGTTGATAATGGTAGTGACTAATGTGACATCCGCCTGTTCAAATGTATTGTAGATTCAATGTAAACCTGTCCTTTTCTTTTCTGACCACAGGAATAATGTAATGACATGTATATGTGATTGTACCACAGTTGCCAGCAGGTTTAGTCCTGGCAGTAGGAACAAAGATAAAGCCTTGCTTAAATTATCATGGGTGATTTTTCATAATGTATTTTAGTTTGTTCTGGTGGAGCCCTAGACCTTGTTTGTGCTCTAACAGTGTTTTAGTTTCCAGGTCAGGCAATCATGTGTCAAATGTTAAAGCAAAAATCCAACCTAATAGACTTTAATAATGTTAAAAGCTTTACTAATTCTGCTGTGTTGTTTCTTATTTCCTTGCAGATACCCAAACAGTGACAATGTGTCATCACACTAAGAGAATTCCAACAGCTACAGTGGTGGTTTATAGGAAAAAAGTATCATCAACTGTGAAGAAAATGTTTAGGTGTTAGTCCATCGATATCCAAAGAAAAGAAATGTTTCTCTCTGGATTTGCAATATAGCACCAACAGTCAACAGTCAAACAGGGAGAGATCCACTGTAGTAGAAGCATATCTGTTAATACAAAATGCGCCATCTCATAGTGGCCCCAATAGACCAGAATGTGAAATAGCCACAAGAAAGGTTTGTTCTGAGTAAGGGACACAAGTCTTTTTGCTCAATTAAAACAGCTGTCACTCTGTTTTTACTATCTTTGTCACCTTCCAGCAACACATAAAACCCACAGCATGTATTTGTATGCGCTCATAGAAGAAAGTCCAAAGGCATTCTGGGCAATGCAGAAAGTCACTAACTAAAGTAGAAATAGATTAGGTATGTTGATAATTTAAAAAAGTAGGTACACAAAAAAAAAGTAGAATTACAACACTTCACATAATTAATGAAAAACGTCACAGATTTGTATAACAGTTGTGAGTATCCAAGAGTTCTTTTTTTTTTTTTTTCTCTTTTGGATTGGAGGTTTCTTTAATGGCCAATGTATCTTTGTAAAATGCATAAATGCAACGTATTTGATTTGTTATTCCTTCTTTTATGTTTTCACTTGTGAGATGGTATTCATTTTCACAGTTATTGCTGTAATTAGAAGTAAGTTCAGTTTGTAGAAACTCCTCCTTACCATTCTTGATGATGATAACATCATCAAAATCAGCTCCAACTTTATCTGACTGGTCAGCTCTGATGTGTTTTTCTGACTCAGATTTCACTGAATGAAGGAGATTTTTTTAACCAGCCCATCTTGTCCGTGGCCTCTGAAAAGATCAGATGAGGTAACTGCAGCTTCAGTTTTAGTTTCACATGTATGATACATATGAGATCTTAAAAGCTATGGCAATGATGTACAGTCTAACAGTCGTTGTCTGCTTGGTTTTCATTGGAAGCCAGGCAGATATAATTTTCCTGTGTGTGTACCAGTAGGTTCACGTACTATACCACTGTCACTTTGTTCTCCACTCGCTAATCACTGTTATTGCTTTGGTGATTCACACATTCAGGATTCAGACATTTGTTTTAGATTGTATGACAATACAGCATGAATATCTCACATTAAGACTTGTTTGCCCACTCTGATTCTGAATTGTTTTGTATGCTACAGAAATGCCACCGTGTTTTGTCAGTGACTGCATAGTCATAAGGAAGTCTCCACACAGGAGCCATTTCTGTGGAAAGATCTGTGGTTGTGGCAATTTTCACTGCAGTGGACAATGAGCACTGGGTAGCAAAGTGCGTCTTCATACTGTGGGGGTCCCTCATCATCTGTGGTGAGGCGCTCTGACAGACAGCGGGTGTTTTCGCTGGGACTCTCCTGGTCATCCAAGCTGCCGCTCCTCCAGAAGCAGCTGCGCTGGGAGCCGTAGCGTCGCGTCAGGGAGAACCGACTGGCGCTGAAGGGAATGCGGGAGCTGGCACCAGTACAGATGCTAAGGGCGCTCCTGGAAAACACTGAGGAGCAGCTGATGGCTCTGTGGCAGCGCTCACAATTCTGACGTATCCCACTGAAGCTAGTCGGGCACTGAGCCAGGTCCATCAGGCCGGCCTCCGAGTAACTGGGCACCAGCTGCTGGTTGGACCGAATGTGCCATTCCAATTCTGTACTGTCAATGGTGTTAACACGCGGGATACGACGCCAATATGGACGATCATCACATGGGGTCACAGGGAGGTAATCATGCCCAAAGAGCTTCTCAACACGGTAGTGGACATATTCAGTATGATACTCTGTGAAGACTCTGAGAGGCCAGGAGAAAGTGAGGAATGAGGCAAACCAGAAGACATAATGGGACAGATACCAGGGGTGGTGCTCTGGGTCAGACAGCACCATGACATACTCCTTCAGATCAATGTTTTTCAGGTGCATGCCCTCCCTGGCTTCCATGTAGTCATCAAGGCCTTCATTGTCAGTGAAAAACCTTGCTCGTTGCGTAAGGTAGGAATTCTCTGACTCAACATTTGCGAAACTAAAGCACTTAGTGAACCGCATCTTCGTAAGAGCAGACTTCTCCAAGCCCAGCAGCTGTTTTGAAACATCTTTCACACCACAGTGACTGTAGTCAAATTCAGCTTCTGCCACATGGGTGTTGACACGTTCATGGTAGACCTGGGTACTAGTGTAAGCATCTCCATTGCGGTAGCGTGTGACTTGACGTGTTCGGCGAACATAGTGATAGCTGATGGCCTTCCACCAGATGCAGGGTTTCGCTTGCTGCATCCTTTGGATGCGCTCATAGATGCCCTCCACATCCACTTTGTGCTGCAGCTCATTCTTCACATGACAGTGCCAGCACTCCACAAGATAGACCAAATAGAGCATGCCCAGTAGGGCCAGAGGGATGTAGATATAGCCATCAGAGCAGGGGCTGTCATGGTACATCATGGATTTCCCTTTGAAGGCACTGTCAAAGGTGAGGCGAGTCACCTTGGTGACATGACACCAAACCATGGCTCCCATGCAGCCGTACATGAGAATGGACAAGAGCAGACATTTCCAAAAACTCTCCCGGCATAGAGACTTGCTCAGAGATTGCTTCAGGGGTCTTTGCTGTTGAGTCAAAGAACAAACAAAACAAAGAAGAGGTGAAAAAAAAATGTTATCATCAGATTTATATTGCAGCGTACATCCCTGCAAATGTATTACTGCAACATCTCATCAATAAAGATTTTTTCAGTTAATTTAATCAAGGGGTCATGTAACCATGTAGATGTAACACCCTTACATTTGAAAGACCCTAGCGTTGCCAGACAATCAGTTTGCAAGCAGTGATAAGTTCTTTCAGACATTTGATGCCATTTCATAGTTAATTGCATTAAGAATAACTCAGAGCTACTGGCCCACTACAGTAGATGCTAGATGAAAGACTGAATGCTGGGGTTACCTATCACAGGTGTGTCCAACCATTTTACTCTGAAATGATTAATGCAGGCTGCAAGATCATAGAAATTCTCTCAAACTGTAACCAATGAGATAATCCCTGGCCAATAATTCACCTGCAGCGTGTTACATTCTGCTCAAAGTGCACATGGATTCATTAGATCACTGCGCAAGGATCTAAGAAACAGATCAGAAAAAAACGCATTTGCTCATATCACATAAGGGATGTAATGATGAAATAATACCTCCTCTCTGGTGTCCTCCTCGAAAACGGTGGTTGTACTGCTTTCACTCGCTGTCGCAGCCGATGCCGGAGGGGACATGGTGCTGGGCAGCTATTGATAATAATGACAGGGCGTGGGGTAGGAAGAGGAACCGATTTCACTACCTTGCTCTCTGCAGAGTCCCCCAAGACGAGCTATTTGTCAGACGTGCATTGCATCTGTTATCATTTAGAGCCACTCCACCCTAGGAAAAGCCAGAGACCAGCGACGGAGGCATGTTGATCGGTGATTTCCAAAATAAGGGGATCTTTTCGGTAGCTGAAAAATGGAAAATGAGGTGTATGTCTATTGGAAAGCCCGCATCCTGTCTGCTACAGTTTAGCTGTCAGTGCCGCAGTAACATGATCGTAGATTATGCTGTAGCCTATTATAATCATTACAAAATGAACATGCCCTGCCCCTCATCGCCTGCTGTCGCCGTCAGCGGTCTATGGCGAGCTGGCAGGGTCGCTGTCCATGGTGCTGACTGAGGCAGGTATACGGTGAGATGTTGTTGCATCTGTCACTTAAAGGGAAAGTCCACCCTGAAACTGAGTCTTAAATTGTGCTATTCCAGCCAGGATGTGGCAGTGAAGACAATATCTTTACAGATATACGACGGTTTTGCTCAACTGGAGATCACCACACCAAGACTTGAACAGGTGACATTTATGGAGGTGGTCCGTTAACAGTGATTTAAAAAATGGTAATGACTCAGGATTGTAGCCTTTCTGAATGCAGAGCTTATGGGTCAGAAAATGTCACCATACACTGCATCCTAATGAAATATACAGTGTCCATGGAGTTGCTTCAGGAGTAGCCTACAGAAGAAAATCTTTCAATTTTTGAGGTAGACTTTTCCCTTTAAATCTTACAAAATTAAGTAACCACTGTTATGCTATTGAAAAGCGTGATTTACAGTTGTTGAAATAAAATGTGAGTAGGCCTATGTTTTACACTTTTGTAAATATTTAATAAATGTCACAAACAAGCCAGTTGCTGTTTCCAGAGGCCAGTGTAGCAAACATAAAGTCTACTGCAATAGAGCAATGAGAAACTTGTATTAAGCCTATCTACTGATTAAAACAAAGGAGGGTTTATACAGTTCATATGTGGCATTATGAATTAGGCATAACATGAACATCATTAAAAAATACTTAGAAAAACATGCATGTTCACATAATCAGCCATGAAAACTCCACCAAATTTCAAAATCACATGAAATTCTGGGTCACAGTTATACTTACAACATCTATTTAAAAACAAACAAAAGTATTTTCAGGAACCCATTTAAAGTCTCAGAGGGTCTAGTGAACTTCGTTTGTTTAGGTGTTTAGGCTGCACGTGACTTGCCTTTAGGGATACAAACTGTTAGGCCTACACATATTTCACTGTTTTGTTGATGTTAATGAAATGTTTCAAATGTTTGTAAGTGTATGAATGTAACAGCTACTTATAAGTGCTTACAACTACATTATAGTGAGTGATTTACTACATCCTCATCAGGGAGAAGAATCTGAATCAAAGAAGTTGAACAGACTGGAGCACTGTTATTCAGTAAAGCTTTAGTCCTGTTAAATTAGTAGTAACTGAAGAGTTTGTTTTCACAGTGGTCTAAAAGGTTCACAGATCTTTTACTAAAGTAAAAGTACTGTAGCAATACCGCAGAAATCTGTCTGTTGTCTGTACATTAGCATCATACTAAAAGTAGGCCTACCTAAAGTAAAATCCACTCATCATGGCCCATTTCAGAATGATATTATATCACTGCATTATAATTAGTGACTCATTTCAACCACTTTATATATTGTCAGGAAGCTTAATGCATTATAACAAACCATCAGTTTTTTGATTTATATTTTGTATTAATATTTTGAATCTGCAAAGTAACTTGTGACTAAAGTTATTTTAAAAATGGAGAGGAGTGAAAAGTACAATATTGGCTTCCAAATGTAGTGGAGTAGAAGTATAACGTAGCACAAAAAGGAAAAACTTAAGTATTAGTACCTCAAATTTGTACAAAATTTTAAAAAATAGAGTGCATAAGCAAATTAGTTACATTCCACCACAGAAATGGAATGATGAGTCCTGGTGTAGACCAAACTGCAAGGCAATCTTCAGAGGGCAACTTCTTCCTGTTGACCACGCTGTGTGAAACTTCTGCTTCCAAACTGTTTACTCCTTTTCCCAGCATCTCCTATTCTGATGATGAAGGGAACCCTTAAAGGTCAAGAGAATAAAAGTTATGACTGAATAAGCACCTCAGCAAGCGAATGCTCTTTATAGGGATTCATGGTTTTTAATCAATTAAATTCTGAGATGGCCACAGAAACGGCCTTGAATTGCTTTTTTTGGCTTAAACAATCTGATCAAACCAGAGTCAACCTTCAAAGAAAAAAAGGATAACCTGCAATAACATTTTAAAACTGTGTTCCACCTGTGCCAGAGCTACTTACAGAGTACACGTTGGAGAGATTGTTGAAAAGCACCTGGCCTGCGCTCACTTTGTTCATCACTCCTCGTATGGTCCCGTTCTTGCTGCAGATATTGACTCGTTTGTTACTGAACAGCATCTCTCTCTTGGCACTGGCATACAAAAGCAGGTCATCGGGTTCACAGCCGTTCTCGTCCTGAGCGGGTTCCACCACCAGACCATTCAGATGGCTGTTGGCCTCACTGGTGGGAGGCGAGCTCCCCTGCTCTGCCTCTGGGCTGCTGGTGCAGTCAGAGTCCACTGAGTCCGACACTGAGCAGCACGAGGCCGTTTCATCCTTGAACACCTCCGCCAAGACCCGGCCGCTGTTGGCAGATGCTATTCTAAACCTAACTGTTTTCCCAGACTTTTCTTTCTCCTGTTTCAGTTTTGGCCCCTCCATTGAAATACAAGAATGTCTAACATGTTTCACATCCCATTCAGAAAAGCCAGTGGTAGTGGTATGCAGTTATCAAACAATAATATCCCCATTGACTTGTTAAATGAGCTGAAAATACCCCGAGTACACAAACCTACACCCTAATGGTTAATAATGGATGAGCTTCTGCCATGGTAACGGCTAAAACAGGCAAACAGTAAATTGATATTACCATGTTCAATAATTGATCAAGGTTAGTTTTCAAACAGCAGATAGACTACAGAACTCTGGCTAGTCTTTAACAGACATAGTCTTAAAGTACTACAGATAACCTTTTGTGCACTTTTCTGTACCCTCCATTAACCTTGTCTGTCCATACGACAAAACAAGTTTATCAAATATTTACCAACTTGCTCTGCCTATTATGTGATAGGATGATATTTGTTAGCATTCAAAATTATATGTTATATGTTATTATATTATATGTTGTTTTATAAGAAATGCATTTCAGAGCAAACACACCAACTGTCCAGGTGTTTATACTAGAATGGGTGGTTACTTTTCAGAGTGAAAGCAAGAAATCCATAAAATTGTCTCAATCATACAGAATTTTCAGACATTTAACTTTTCTATTGTCACTCTTACTCCAACAAATGTCGCTTTTTCTGTCACACTGACATTTGTCACCCTGCTGCACACCCATGGGAGTTTTCTGCCTGGGGCTCCAACAAACTGCTTCTGCATCACAGCAAACATATAGCAGATGTAGCTTTGTTGAGAAAGTAAAAAGCATTTATTCCCATCTTATATTTGCACAGCAAAGTTACAAAGGAATTTGTGGAAAAGTGGCTTCAGTCAAGCACATGATTATTAAGCACACAAACAATGGGATGTCGAGAAATAAGTATTTGTGTTTATATTAAGGTGTGCTATCTTCTAATAAGGTATTCTACGTTTTAATTAAGTGATTTAAAATGCATTCCAGTATTTTATTTGTTTATTAATCAAGCCAATCAATCTATTTCCAAATTTTGGAAAATAACAGTAACGTTCACTCTAAAGCTGATGACCTAAAACTGACACCACCGGTTTTAATAATCCTGTTAGTAATATCATCTCTGAATAGTTCTAAAACTATTTTCCCTCCGGACTACACAGACTGCTAAATATGTGCGTCAAGTCCTTCATGTCGCCCCGGAGCAAATTGCAAACCTGTAGTTCCACTCCGGGCCTGCAGGCGGAGGTAGCACTGCTGCTGATTGACAACAACCACCGAACAAGCTGGACAAGCACACGTGCAGCGCAGCGTCAACATGGGTAAAAGAAGGCAGAATAAGCAGCTTTTCACAAACTTATCCAAAAAACAGAAGAAACATTTGAAGGAGTTTGGAGAGGAGCATCCATTTCATGACGTGTAAGCAGTACAGCAAACCTTTCTTAAAGTAATAATTAAGCTACATTTGTGTTAGCCAACTAGCCAAGTTACATTCCGACAGCAGTGGTCAGTTTATTGAGATACAGTTGGTAGCCTATGTTTCCTTATAATAGTTATGTGTTATTAGGAAAAACGGTAACGTTAAGCTAATATTGTTCGAAGGAGCCCGTTCACTAAAACGTATCTACATAACTTACCGGAAATATTCTCCCCAAAATTCAAAATACACTTATTTTTGCTTTAATCACAGAGATGGTTGAGACATAAGATTTTCCAGATTTGTAAGTTATGTTCTGTTCCTCATAAACACAGACTAAATATAACCCCCTATATTTATGTGAACTAACAACATTAATCAAATAAATAAGGTAATTAACATTAAGCTTATTCTTTGGAAATACTTCTGACAGATGAGTCTTTCAGGGCATTTTGTTCTAGACATGACCTCCTCGACACTTTAATGGGCATTCTATCTTCTCCTAAACTCTTCTCCAAAATGCAACTCTACGCATTTCCTAGTTCTCAGCCAAATCATCATGTGCTAAAAGCACAGAGCTTTCTTTTTCTTTACATACTAATACCAACATGTCAACATGCATCCCAGACCAAGAACTTTGTTATTCAGTGAAGTTTGTGGTCTCTCGCCAAGTAGCTACATTTACGTATGTGTTTCTTTTTTCCCACAGAGTCAGTGAAAGACCTGAAAGAACTGCCGTAGTGGAACTAGTGAGTAGAGCTGTACAATTCCATATTATAGAAGTCATAATAGATATGAGATTTATGACTGTAGAACCGTCACTGCTCAAAGAAGTGTTTTCAGTGGCAGTAACAAAGAGCTCCCGTCTGATCAAATCTTCAGAATATAAATTGTGGACCATCTAGTCACTGATATCCTCCAGACAGTTTTGTAATGTTTTACCCAAGCCAAAAGTAAAAAAAAATACAAATTGAAAGTTGTTTTTAACCTCTGTTACAGCCAGCAAGTCCAGAACACTCTGACGTTGAGCCTGATGAGCTGGACGAAGAGGAGGAACCACAACAGAAAACAGCCTATCAGAAACTTCTTTCAACTCTCAGCCAACCCAACAGTAATGAACTGAGTGAAGAGGAGAGCACTGATGATGAAGAAGAGGAAGAAGAGCAGCTTCTTGGTGAAGGTGAGTTTTTCCCCCGATGGTGAGGACAGTATAGGT